GCCGCGCTGGATCGAGTTTCTTATGTGGGCGAGTGTAGCGACTAGATTCGTTCCGCCACAGCGAAATTGTGTCCACCAATGAGAGCGACCCCCTTGTTACTAACCCCAAGAGAGTGCTGCCAAGTTCTCGGTCGATAGCTGCAGTTGAGGAGACGGGTTGGGTACCTTAGAATATTACGCGAGGTGATCGGATATTGGCTTCTTTAAAAGCGCTAGACAGACAGTTGCAGCGTTTGAGCTCATGCTCGTGCAACCTCGCCTGAAGCTAGGTCTTGATCTCACTGACGTTACACAGAGAGATTAGAAACGGTGCCTCTTGCGGTCGAGTGGATTGAGGAGGAAGCCAATAATTGGTAAAAACGACATTCAGGAAAATACCGGAGTGAAAATCGAAACGGCACGTAACCCCTTGAACCCGAGAGCCTGGACCTTATACGATAAGGCCTGTTTCTTAGCGTGGACCATACAAGTTAAGAAATATTACATTTGATTTTTGTATAGGTCTTTACAAACTCCAAGCCATATAGGGGTAGGTGATGATTCCAAGCTTTCCCGACAGACCAACATAGACAATCCACTTCGAAAGTACGTCTGCAGATCAAACCAGCAAATTACATATGATTGTTCGTAGGCAGACGCCTGCCACCACACAAATGTGTGGCTCACTTCTGGATTCTCCCTCTCGAGCAAAGAACCCCACCATTCCAAAAATGGCATTCCGGGCGCGATGGCGTGAAATGAAAAAGGATGGCTGGACCTCAAAGAAGCCATCAGGCGTTTCCGTTGACTATATTTATCTCAAGCCCGGAAAGACGATCAAGGATGTTGAAGAAGAAGACGTGTTTATTGGCAAGGAAGCTCTGATGAAGTACCTGGACAAGATTGAAGTCTTCGATCTGTACTGACTGTGTTATGTGGACAACGGCGCTTCGAGCACAGAAGCAGGCAAGACGTGATGGATCTGCAAACGCTGTCCGACGTCGAAGCGCTGGAAAAGCTGTCAAACCTGTTGCAGTAAAGTGTACGTGTACTGTGGGCTGTATTACACATGTTGGCATTTTGCTAATCGTGTATGTTGTAAATTAACTTTCGTGCAACATTAACTTGAGGTTCAACAGGTATTCTCCCTGGACTGCCATGGAGGCAGGAAAGAGTGCCAGCAAAGTAAGCAGTCTAAGTTACTTTGCAATATGCTTCTGTCAATACAAGTAGACATTTGCAGGGAGTTCCAGCTCCCAATCTTTGTTGTACACGCCACAAAGTTAACTTTAGTAACCGCGTGAGCGATGAAGACACGCAGCGGGTGAGCGACTCAAGTCACGCCTGCAAACCAACACTCAACGACGAATTGAACAATATTATCGGTAACGTGATGAATCACGATATCATTGAGATTGATGCCCTTTTTTTGACCAAGAGTTGAAGATGAATTTGCGTGAGGCTGACGTGAAGGCCCGCGTGATAAACTATTTCGTGTAATGTGATGACATCATCCTACAGCATGAACTGACTAGTACATTTTCGACTCCCAACGGAATCAAGGAAAAATGCAAGTTCCTGAAGCAGTACCTGGAACCTGCAGCTCTGCGTGATGCGATTGACACTGATAATGTCTCGTCAAGACGCTCTTGAAGTGGTCTAGATACTCTAGCGTAGTCAACAAGACCAGCTCTCATCCAGTTAGTGCGGTAGAATTTTCAACCAACACGGAATCAGCCACGATCCTGAACGCATTCAGGCTCTTCGTGAAATGCAATTGCCGACTACAGCAGCAGAACTTCAGCAGATTTTATGCGCTAGTAACTGGATGAGAGCTGGTCTTGTTGACTACGCTAGAGTATCTAGACCACTTCAAGAGCGTCTTGACGAGACATTATCAGGGAC